CAATCACTGCATCATCTCCAGACACATCTGAACCAGCATTATCATTCCCATTTGCACCTCCATCTTCCACAGAATCCTCTTCATCATCGCCCAAGTCGACATGCGCAGCGTGTACTTTTGGCCTTTTCATAATCTCTGCAAGCTGCAATCTACCGCTTCTTCGAATCGGTGAAGCCATTACAACAGATTTCTTGCTGCGCTTTGAACTTCTTTTCAAAGCAAGATCTGCAGCCCCAACAAAAAAAACCAAAAACAAAAACTCATAAACAAGGATACAATGCCAAATCACAACAAAAAACATAAAAATGCCAATGTGGTGTTTGTGTGGCCACCCAAACAACCATTCCACATCAAACAACATCAAACTAGAATATCCAAACCATTATACACTTTAAATAACCAAACACTTATGTATTAGTATGAAATGCACAAAATTTAAATACACAACATTTCAATAAACCTAAACATAATACCAATCACAAAGCAGACTAATAACCAACAGATTGATATAGTACCATATTATTAACAAAGCTAGATGCACAGTAAGTCCCCATCAGTGCTAATATTGAACCATGCACTGTACAAAGCTAAAGAAACACCAACTAATACAGTATATGCATTAGTCCGCACCCACAATCCCTGACTGCATCTATAACATTTTCCTCACACACACTATCACAATTGCTCAGACCAAAACATGCCTTTTATTCATCCCAAATGAATCTCATAAATATATAAAATGCAGACAAAGTATATAACTATTAGGATTGCAATTCACAGTATTAGTAACAAAATGAAAACTAAACAATAGCTCTTCACCAGGGAAAAACCCATAAAATCGCAGAACGAACACTACAAAATAAGCCAAACAATGGCATACATTGGCATCAGGACACTGCTTTATCCACTCAATGCAATATAACTTCACAAATACACACAAACAAAAATGTAAGAAACACCACAACTTTCACACAATCACCATAGGCATCGAATGCATATCTTAAAAGCAGAATACTTTACGAAAACCTATACTATTTATATAGTACTACAACATCAATTCAACAATTCAATGCTCATATAAAACTCAGAAGGATGTCTATTGCACCACATCAATAAAATCCTCTTTAAAAATGTCAAACATGTTGCACATTCATAATAAATTAGTGCATATATGAAAAGGCCACCTTAGCCAGAAATAAACACTCAATCAGATCAAAAAAATGCACTGCAGCCCCTTTACAGGAAACAACTGTGGAACACTTCGCACACAACTTAAAATGTAAAGCATAACACCACAGTACACATGCTTCAATCACCAAAACAGCATAACAACATAAAAAAACCAGAGATCCACATGCAATACATGAATCGCACATATACATGTTCACAACTACTGAAAGAAATTCACGAAATTCAACCCAAACAATAAAAACACAATTTTGAGCTCTCTGCAACAACCAATTAATGAAAACCTACACTTATAGAACACAAAAACTTGAAAAAAAATTAAAACCCAAAACCCCAGACCCTCACCCGCAGCCAAATTCACCAGTGAGACACCATTATCCCAACGATCAACCAGTATCATGAGTAACAAATGCATCCTCAAACACATGCAAAACAAAAAACCCACCACGCACAACCCATTTCGCCCAAACAAAAAAAGAGGCACATACCAGGTACTCCTTCACCCTCCATTTCTGCAATACACTTTCACCAGTAAGAAAACCGCACAAGCCCGACCGAATTGCTTCAAAAAAACCTTGATAATGTAAATTCTCTGCACCACGACCGCAGGAAAAAGCAGCGTAAACAGCGAGGTTTATTGAGAAGTGAAGAGTTCTATTCTGAGCCTGCAGCTTATTAGGCGGGATTCTCCAACATCTACGCATTTCAGTAAAATCAAATCTCCCAAATATGCCCTTCCGCGATTCCACCGTCAAAAGGAGTCTAAAATAATAATTAGACTTCCTATTTTAAAGTTTTGATCTCAGCCACACGATTGAACTAATCCTAGGCTCCTAATTCATTCTTAGTTCTTTCATTGACATATATTCTTATTAGAACCCACCCCTATACATATATATATATATATATATATATATATATATATATATATATATATATTGGTTCAGGTGAGAATGCAATCTAATGAAAGAAGTGAGAATGAATTACATCCGTCCGATCACTGCTAAAATTATCACGTGGGAGAGACTTTTTCAAGGATCTTTTAGTAATTTGACGTCAAACCTTATCTCCCATAAGTCATACCTAATCGTGGATTGCTTCATGATTTTTAGCGAGGAGATTTGTTTCTCAGATTTCCATATAAGAGCATTCACAATGGCAAATAAAGAAATGGAATGCCACACGCTGATGTGGCATAATTCAACCAATTAAAAATTACACAGTCATTTTTTAAATTTTTAACATAATTTAGAAAATAAAAAATAGAGCATGGCAGCCTTGAGGCGTGGAAGAACGCAGAAGGAACGCGAGGCAATTGCTGACTTGGTGCAAGGTAAATCCTAGAATTAGGTCACTAACTCCACAGTTCTCCCTCCCCGTTTCCTTTTCCAACGATGCCAATTACACTGTTTGACATCACGGGAGCTTCATGATGATGGGGCGGCTGGCGACGATCTAGAAACAGATTGGATTCAGCGGCACCCTCTATTGAAACGGAATCGATATGAAGGGAGAATCATCAGACTTTGTATATAATATCACTATCTGTCATTGCTTCATTTTCAATTTCTGGATTTTGACACAATTGGGGCTATTGGACATCAATATTCTAAGCTTGTGGTGAGACTTTTTTCTTGAAAAAAATTAATTTAGCTTTTCAATCTATGGTGGTAACCCGTTGGCTTTCCTGTTTTTTTTTTGCAGTTTTAATTAACCTTCTTGTGTTTTTGAATGTGGTCTGCATCTGTTTACCACGGTGGTGCATTTTTCATTGACAATAAAGCATCATGCGTAGAATGTTTTGAAACAAAAGATTTTGTAATGCCAAAACAAAAGAGGAGGATCATGTGATTTTAGTTACATTAGTAATTAATTAGTGCATTTTTGTCTTGATCATGTTGTTTTTAAGTCTCTTGAAAAAATTTGAGGAACAGATGTCCGACCTTATGCTTTGTTTGTAATCTCAATTTTGCATATATTGATTTTTTTAAGCTTCTAATTGAGATTGAATGGGTATGACTAATAGGATTTCTACTTTTTTTCTTAGGATAAAGTGTCCATCTTTAAAAGCATTGAAACTTAATTCATTCACGTTTTAAAATGGTTGTGTTTATTTTCAAGCCTGCTGTCTTACCAATTTTTTGCTGTTGGCATATAGGACACTTCATTTATCAAACTTGGTACATTATACGGAGTACTTTTTTGGGATATGCTAGGGGTACACCAAATGTGTACCCTAAATGTACACCACTCCCCTTTCTACCATTCATTTTATATTGTTTTTATTTTTTATTTTTTTTTTGAATTTTTATTGCCTTTTTTTGTGGTGATAGAGGGGGTGGGGGATGTTTGGGGTACACTTTTGGTGTATCCCTAGCATTTTCCTACTTTTTTTCTTACTACTTGCCTAAACTGTGCTTTGTTTTTCATGCTTGGTGCATTACCGGTTTTAAATCGCTTCCTAAAAATGTCAGTTTTTTTTGGTCATTTTTTTCTTGCTATTTTTTATTTGAGAGTTTATAATAAGCACTAAAAAAGGTTATTATACTTTTTGAAATTTTTATAACTAAATATTTTTATTTTTACGACTACAAGTTTGCTTTTGTTTGCTTTGGTTTGTTACAGTGCACTACTAGACTCAAGGTGATGCATTTACATCAAAAGGAAATGCATTCTCTAAATCAAGGTAAAAAGACAATACATTTTGTTGCTATGTATTCTCAAAGGGAGGTGATATTAGCACTCCAACTTTGTTATTGGCGCTCCACCTTTAATGAAAGTGGACAGTATTACCCTTTTGTTTTTTAAAATGATCATTGCATTTAAAATCTGGCCATCTACTTGGACACGGATAGACGATGGAAAATGCTACGGACTATGATTATACTTCATATTATTTCTGGTATTTTGAACTAAGCATTTAGTATTTTAGTTTCTATCGAGACTATTTTTAGATTAAATTAAAAATAATTACGAATACAATTAAATGCATAGTATTTTTTACACCTCTAGTGTCAATTTTATTTGGGGACGGATATTAACAGAATTTTTAACATAGACGGTATTTATTTTTAAAACTCTATTTTAAGAATGGAGAATTTTAGAATATAAAACCTAACATAAGCCTGTGAACACAAGTTTAAATTTTAAGTTAAGTTGGTTTATTGACATTACATCATGACCTTGATGACCATTGACCAAGAGGTCAGGAGTTTAATTGTCACTGCTGCCCCATTTAAAAAATAATAATTTTCACATGCAAGACTCAATCAACAATAAATTATGCAACACATGAAGAGACTTGCTAGAATATAAGATTTATTTTGGGATTACAACCACAAGTTTAAATTTTTGATACGATTGACTTCATTCGTTGTCAGAGAAAGATGTGTTAGGAATGTAAAAGTGTTGTAAAATATTTTGGAAAATAGGAAAGGTTTAAAAAGAAAAAGTTTTTTTAGAACACTTAGAAATGAGAAGGAAAAAAGTTTATTTAGAACAATACGGAGTGCTGAAACAACACTTAAATTTCATTAGAAGTGCAATTAGATCAATGAATTTAAATTATACTCCATATTACTCTAGAATTTCGTTTGTATTTTATTTCTCTTTCTCCCAAAATGGGTTACATTGTCATGATAATATTGTAATGAATATACTAATTATATAATCTTTTTCAAGATATTATTACAAATAACAACAACAACAATATATAATAATAATAATATTATTATAAGAAATTAACCAAAATAAGAGTAAAACATAACTCTTATCTTCGAAATAGGAGTGCCATATTTTTATTTTGAAAATAAATATTTGTATTGTGACAATATGACACACACTATATATTGCATTTCAAAATGTTTTTTTTTATATGTTGACATTATTGGTATTGTAGTTCTAACTTTTGAAAAAAAATATGTAACTCCTATCTTGATAATTTCTAAGTATACGCTTTACTCATAGTTTAATTTGTTTTTATAAACGTAAGCATTCAAAAAACTAGAAATAATATTTTTGTAAAAATATAAAAATAACATGATATTTTTCATGATAATAATAATTATTATTTCATGAAAGAATATTACTCCGTATATGATACGGATTATAGTTTTCCTGAATAATAAAATATCTAATTTTATGAAATAATATTAATTATAAAATTCATGAAATATAATATCATGATTATTATTAGAAGATTTCTAATTTTAGAAAACTTAAGTTCTATTTGTATTTCATCAAAGTCTAATTCTAATTAGATTTCTAGTTTTCTACGGAGTAATGCAATAAACATTTACTCCATAAATGAGTAAAAAGGGTAATACGGTCACTTTAATTAAAGATGGAGCGCAGATAGGAAATTCGGAGCGCCAATATCAGCTCCCATTCTCAAAGTCACATTTTATGCATTGATGGTGAAATTCTCCGAGCACAAATATAATGCATTTTGTATATTCTTGTTAGTGAATTTTGTCCAAAGAATGATGCATTAAAAATATTTTGTGATACATTTGAATATGAGTTACAAACACGTTGAATGATGCCAAGTTTAATAGATCAAAATGCATATTTAATAAGTTCAAGTGAAAGATCAGAGTCTCTTTCAAAATAAAAATCGTTGCCTGTTAGCTCAAATGGTAGAGCAGTATTTTATACAGATGTGAGTTCGAATCTCACATAGGCAAATTATTTCTCAAATTTGTATTACACATGGTCAGAATACAACATATTCTCAGACTTTTTTGTCACATACAATGCCACTTAAAGTCATTATTCAATAATGCACATAGAATATAATTTGAATAAAATCTAAAGAACAAATAAATTATCGTGCGTACTACATTTTTATAGGCTCACAGTGCACAACGAGAAATGCATAAAAAATAGCAAATGATCAAAAAACATAATAATATAACATACCAAGAATGTACTTCCTTCGTCTCTAAATGTTTGCCACATTTCAAAAAATGAGGCAAAATATCAAGTTCTTCAATTCATTTTATTTAAATATTGGTATATAATAAAAAATAAAATTTGCATATTTTAAAACAAAATGAAAAATTCTTCAAAATAAGAAGTGTCAAGAATATTTTATTCTATCAAATAATCAATGAAAATGTACAAATAAATAAATGTTTCTGAGATGGTTGAAAAAAGAAATGTGACAAACATTTTGGGACGGAGGGAGTATTTCAAACGAATGGCGGGTAGAAAATTCTCAACTTTAGTTTTAAATAGAATTACTTTTGACTATCTGTAGCAACATTGAATTGCGTAATAAGGGGATGCATATCACATCTGCACGATTTCTTTTACCATTCTCAATTACATTTATGCCCTTAATTTTTTTTTAGAGGAATCAGATCCTAATTTGGTGTGACGCAATTAATGCTTACCTTTTAAAAACAAAAAGAGTATTGTTTAATGACAACCATCCGATGCATGAAATCTAAAGGATGAAGATTATTCTCATTTCTTTTATACAATACCATTCTGACATGAACCAGCCACTATATATATATATATATATATATATATATATATATATATATATATATATATATATATATATATATATATATATGGGATATATGATGTTATGGCCAGGTTTTTAGAGCGAGAAAGCTCCGGCGAATTCTTCAGCGGTCGTCGTCGCCGCTTCAATTTCTGTCCGGACTATCAACGGCCAATCTATGGGTTCAAGATACAATCTAAGGTATACCCAAATGCTCCTTCTAGGCATCGGCAATATTATCACAATTCGTACAATAGATCTGGCTTCATTGGCCGAATCAGCACCCAAAGAACACTTCACAAACACAGTTCTTCGAAGCTTCAAAATCGAGACTTTAGATGGCCTTTCAAATCCCCTGAGGTATACGGCCTGAAAAACTCATATGTGCTTTCAGAACAGAGAATCATCTTACAGGGTCAGAAAGAACACTCCTCTCCATGGCCTAGCAAGAACATCAACTTCAAATTCAGAATTCTTCATAAGGTATTTGAGCTTTTTTACTCAGTCTACAATAAAATCTTCAGTATTACTGATAAAGGGAGAAGAAACATACAATTATGGTTAGATTCTGATTCACTCACCTGGGTCATGGAATCTCTTCCTAGAATCATTTCTGGTTCTTCTTGGGCCTGTGTTAAATTGGATGCTAAGAGAACACTTGAAATTTTTAAAGACTCTAATCATAGGGGGGATTATATACGCATTTTAGAAGCTAGAAAGGAAGGTAGTAGATTCCTTCATATCCCCTTTGGAGTTCATGATGATGGGCCAACTCAGTTCCTTAAGGCTATTAGGTGCTTTTTTGAGAGAGTTCGATGTTTGGACAAGGATAAGGGGTTTGGGGAGTTCGGGGAAGCAGTAGGTGTTTCAGGGGGTAGGGAATTTGAGGTTGCTGGCTTGGCTGGTCCAGTGCACTCTAGTGTAGATTTACGTTCTCTTGCTGCTAATGAACTGGTATTAGAGCAGGTGTCGAAGGACCATGAGTTAAGCCCGACTCGAAAAACCAACAGGTTAGGAGATTCTGATACCCAATCCAATCTGGTTTTGCTGCCAGATGTGGTAGACTCAACCCAAATTTGTCAAAAGTGTGAAGAGGGATTAAGAGTACAACTTATGGTAGGGCAGGATATACATCACGGCTCAACTGATCAGAATGATGGCCTGGCAGAATCTCTTGAACTGGATGTACATAAGCAAAAGGATAAGTTTGCTCTGGCAGAGACTCATTCATCATACAATTTTCATTACCCCCAGCTTCCAAGAGTGCGCCTATCCCCTTTT